GGGAAAGAATTATTTCTTTGGTAAGCTGCCTAGGGTAGAGACTCTCTTTACACATATAGACAGCACCTAGTATGGTGGGACCATGCTCTCAGCTAAGGTTTGCGCCCACTACTAATGCTAATAAAAAATAATGCATGAGCTCTTGCTGTGCTGAACTCCCTGCCAGGGACCTACCTTCTAGCACCTCCACCTTCACCTTCTGCAAAGTCCTTGTTGTCCCTAAGAAGTCAGTCTTGCACTGGTACAACCCAGCGTCCTGTTTCTGGAGCCTCTTGATGGTCACCATGAGCACCCCCTTGTGAATGTTGTCTGAGATGGATGTGGTGCCATTCCTGTTCTTCAGGAACTGCAGCCAGAAGCGGCGGGCACTGACCACGTGCTGGCATTGCGTCTCATCGACCTGCTTGCACCAGCTCTTCTCTTTCCACTTGTGCTCCTTGGGGCCGTAGGTGCAGTTGATGGAGATGGTCTCTCCCTCCATGCCGTATACCACTGTGGTGTTCTCTGCTGCATAGAGCTCTGGCAGGATAAAAAAGGGAATGAGATCTGGGTCTCCACCTTCTCTGTCATGCACACTCTCTCAGTCTCTTTTCTTGTCCACACTAGAAAACCTGGGCTGCAGTCTCCCTTGCATGCACCTCTACTGGTAGTAGCAAAGCAGGGTACCCAAGGTCTTTACTACCTTCTCATCTAATCAGCTCTCCCACCACTTTGTCAAGTTCAGATTCAGGGCCCTGATTCTAGGCCTTCTTGTGTCAAACCCAATTGCTGGGTATTTCACTGTGTGCGATTTGGGTGGTTCTTCTGGTGTGGGTGAGGGGAGAGGAGCTGTGTCCTCCTCAGTGGTGGACTGTCCTCTCAAAACCCAGCACACCCTTCCCTCCATATTTCCTTCTTTGCATTGGAGTATCTGTCCTTGGTCTGAGTAGGGCACACCACACCTTGCCTGGTCACTGGATTTGCTCCGTGGTAGCACAAGGCTTTTTTTTCAGGGCCTGATCTCATTGCCAGTCTATGGGCAAGATGATGGTTCAGCAAATCAAAGCTGAACATGAGAAACACAAAATATACAGGATCAGATGGCTGGCAGGCAGGCTCTGACAGTACAAAGGTCCCTCAATATCGGTGTAAGTGGAGTTCTTACATTAGGGTCCTTTTATGCTGCCAGAGCCATGTGACATGGCTTGGTATAAAAGATAATTGCAGCCACAAAGCAATCCCCAGCTGGCTGTTGGGAGGGGGAATTCATAACCCTGCTACTGACCTCTCAGTTTATCTAGTCTTGAGAAACCTCGTTTCATCCCGTTTCCTGGGGCACTGCTAATTCTAGCCCTGACTTTTAAGTAGCTGATCTTCAACTAATTTGCTGTCCCCTTAGAGTTCCTTATTTCTAATTTTTTCTATGTCTTTAGATGCCAAGGAAGTGTGTTGGCAGAGCTATGTATGTTGTGAGAAGGGAGAAGTGTGTCCTTCTGAGGAGACTGCATTTTAAGAGAGACTTTTTTTTTCAGTCCCTGAGCACCTGTTGAGAGAGCTGAAGGGAGCAGTCAACTGGGAGTGGCTGGTTGGAGGGGTTTTGCACATCTGCTTGAGGAGGCCAGGATTATGCGGTCTTTTCTATTTTTGGAGTAAGACTGGACTGGGAAAAGGCATGAAAAATGGATGGTTTCCTATATGCCTCCAAAGCACCAGAGCCCAGGCTTACCGCCTCTGCTATTCCAGCCCTGGGCTCCTCCCCACCACTACACCACAGCTTCTCACTCCCAACTTCTGCAGCTACCTCAGCTGTCCCCCCTTTTCAGTTCTAGCCCCCCGAGCGGTGCCACGGCCCTTTTCATCCCGACCCATTGCTGCCATTTCGCTCAGGATCAGAGGCTGGCAGGTACAGACTTGCTGTGGTCCCACAGAAAACATTGCAGATATGGAGGGTTCTCTCTAAATCATTCTGAACCCTCCTCTCTCTTCTGTGTTCACTGACAAGAAGGGACAAAGAAATCGGGTGCTACGCTGTGACGGGAACAGGAGAGAGGACAGATTTGTGGACCAGGCAGTAGCTTGAGACTCAGGAGACCCTGGTTCTATGAGAAGTTCTGCCCCAAACTCTTCTGGTCTGACTGTGGACAAGCCACTTAATATCTCAGTGCCTCGGCTCCATGTCTGTAAAATGGGGGTAATAACTTCCCTGCTGCAGGGGGTGCCAGGAGTGGCACGCGAGCCTGATGCTGACAGAGCACTAGTTTGAAATCTCTAGGTGGGGAGAAAAAAAAAAGGCATCTTAAGACAAGTTTCTATGACCTTCAGTAGCTGATTATCTTACTATTCTCTTGCTAACTTTCCAGGTGCCTCCAGGAATAGTGAGCCTCAGTTTACAGGTCTGAGGATTGTCCTCTGATTTCAGATAAGATGCGTCTGCTCTGCAAAACCGTTATCTGCACTGCTCGGACCTAGAACTGCTGAATCTTGCGTCCAAAGTATGCACGCAAACTTCAGACAGACAGGGTTTTGCAATCTTTGTTGCTAAGAATGCAGCAAAGAAATGATAAAAAGCCCTTTTGACTCATGGGTTTCCTATGAGAGGACCTCAGTACAATGCCCCAAAGGAAGCCGAGTGCTAGAACCTCTACCAGCCCGAGGCGGGGGAATCAAGAGAAAAGAACAAAACCTTTTGATGGGGAATAACTCTGTGAATGTGGCTGCTGAAACTTCCTGGGTAGACATCATCAAATCATGACAGTAACTTGTGTCTAGAGGGAAGCAAGATAAATACCTTCTCTCATCCCCAAACTACCCGCTCGCTGTCTAGCTGTTCAGCTGCGGTTGCAATTTTTTTCCCCTTTCTCTGAACCAGTGCCTGACACTAACTGGAGTGGAGAACAATGCTCTGCTCCATCTGCTGCTTCAAAGATGTTTTATAGCTTCCTCCATTCACATGACTTAGGATGATTGGGGGTCAGGAGGGATGAATGGGATGACTTCCCCCATGCCTGGCACCTTCTGCTGTCTTTGCATTCATTTTGCTCAGATCCAGAGTGGCTGGGCAACAATGCAAGACATGGAAGAGTATCATTTTGCACTCTATATATTCCCTCTTCGCAAGTGCTTGATTGCTCAGGGTACAAGCTGTGCAGAATCAGTGCAGATCTAGATCTTGTCAGTCTGGTCTAGAAGAGAATAATCCTTTTCCTGTTGGGGCTGGCTCCAGCAAGTTGCCAAAGCCCTCCTGCAAGGTTCTGAGTTTCCTTCAATTCCTATTGCAATAATCGAGCAGCAAAATGCTAACAGTGCACTTAGATGTGCCAAGGCTGCTACCAGCATGAAACACTGGTCTGATCTTCGCAATAACTGCCTATTCATGACTGAATCATCCAGAGTGATCGGCTGAGGTGTCATGTGCTACCTGCCTTTGCCTTACCAATGGCTCATACTAGATGTTGCTCCAACCCATTCCCTGCCCCTCAGCTCAAAACAGATGGCTTTTGGTGCTTTCTTACCTGCTAAAGAGACCAAGAAGATGAGGTGCACAAGCTTCTCCATGTCCGTCCAGCAGCGAAGAAGAGAGGAGTCTGAACACCGATTCAAAGGATTTTTGCCCAAGAGCAAGTTTTTGTTTTTTGGGTTTTTTTTCCCCTTGCTCTGCAGAAAGGAATGAAAACAGGAACTTGTTTTCTTCTCCTTCCTGGTGATGTGCCAGGGAGGAGTGCTGCTCTCACTGGCTGAAACTGGGGCATGAGCGGTGCCCGGGCCAAGCAAAGATTTGGTCTAGACAGCCAGAGAGGAGCTGTCATATGATGAGAGGAAACCGTGGGGTTGGGAGGTGCTCTGAGACCGTGGGTAGGTGCCTGCTGTTTTGAATAAGCCTCACAGGCCAGCTCTTCCATGGCCTGAACCTGTAGGGCTTAGCTCATGGCTTATCCCATGGTAGTTCACCTAAGAAGCTCCCCGTAGACCATGAAGGGTGGAAGAAGAGGGCTAAGGTATAGCCTGGGAAGCCTCCACAGAGACCCCAAGAATTGATTTCATAGATTTCATAGACATTAGGGCTGGAAGGGACCTTGGAAGATCATCAAGTCCAGCCCCTTGCCTCAGGGGCAGGAAGTCAGCAGGGATCATAGGATCCCAGCAAGATAAATAAATGACAATGACTTTGTTCTTCAGTTGGGCAGTGGGAAAAGAGCAACAGTAAAGCCTGTCCTGACAATTCGATATGACCATTTAGGGCAGGAAGGGTAGTCTGTTTTTATCTGCTTGCAACTTTGCAGGACATATGGGAATTGAGGCCTCAGCTTCTTATTTTTTCATGAAACAAAGCCCTTCTAGTCAGTACAGAGCCCAATAACATGTGGGGGCAGTGGTTTGGTATCAAACCGGCCTTTTCCAAGTTAATTTAATGAGATGGGGATTTCCACGGTGACTGTCACTGTGGGACCTGCGTGGTGCCATTTCTTTCACTTGGAGGCCGGTCGTCTTAGTAGTGTCTTAACTGCATGCCACCTAGTCTACGGGAGCTGACAGCACGACATCGAGAAGGGGCAGGATGGCAGATGACTCCTTTGTGCGCATGCACTTATCTTTCTGTCTCTCTCCTGGCAGTCCTCGGCCACATCCAGAATCACGTTCCAGGTTTTATTTGTTCCGTTCATTCTCAGTGTGGTGGGCAGGAATTTAGGCTCAATTCCTCGTGGCTTTATAAATGATGGTCTAGGGGACACTGGTGCACAGGGGAGAAACTGGGTGCTAAAATAAACATCAGAGAGTCTGTTCTCTTGGTCAAAAACCTCTGTACTTCTCCCCTTCCCTTCCTTCCCCTTGCCCAAAACACCGCCCCCCCACACACACTTAGCCAGTTCCAGTTTCTAATTTTCCATTGTTAGCTACTTCACTTTTAAACCAATATTTTCCTTTTTCTTTTTGAAAGCTACCCAGGTGGTTGCATCCCTTTTAAGGTATGTTCACATTTAGAAGGATCAAGAAATATTGTTTCCAAGCAAAACCCCATCTCCTTCCCTCCTTCCCCATTTTTGTTGAATGTGATTGTTGCCGAGGGAAGCTGTAAAATCCTCTTTGTTGGAGGGTTTAAAGAAGTGGTTGCACGGGTGTCTGCCTGGGCTGGTTTAGGACTTCCTGTCTCTGGGCAGAGAGTTGGCCTAGATGACCCTCCCTTCCACTTCTGTGATGCTGATTTGATTTCCCCCACCCCCATACCACTGACACCATTGGCATGCCCTGCCCGCCCCCCCCAAGCTCAGTCAACAAGACCATTTTCCATTATAAAACTATTTTGACTTGCTCTGTTTCAGGGTTCAGCTACCTTTGGCACACGTGCCAGAGCATGGTACACGAGGCCATTTTTCTCGGCATGCCACAGCTGGCCCAGGGCCTGGGCAGCTGCCACTGGCCACAGACCCTGGGCTGCCCCGGTATGTGGTGGGGAGACTGCAAGCCCTGTTGTGAGCAGCCTGGGCTCTGAGCAGGTGGCAGCTTCCCAGAGCCCTGGCCGGCTTCGGTGGGCAGCCAGAAGGCTGCAGTGGGTGCACCAGGGTCCGGAGCCCCAGCCCAGGCTCCGTGCTGGCGGTGGCTGCATGCATGCCGTGGGGCACACAGCGGGGAAGGGGCCAGGGTTGTGCTGCTCCAGGCCTCTTCCCCACCAGGCAGCCTGAGGTGTGCGCGCAGCCACTGCCATGGAGCCTGAGCTGCTTGCAGCAGGAAGGCTGCAAACAGCTGCACCGGGGTCAGCAGGGCTCATTGCTGGTGGCAGCTGCATGTGCACCTTGGGGAGAAAGGCAGGGAAGGGGCCAGGGCTATGCTGCCATAATAAGGACTGGCCCCTTGTAGCTCCCCTGCCATCTGTTCCTGGCATGCCAACTTTGAAGTTGAGGTTGCAGGGTTTTTTGGCATTTTTTAACCTACCCCTGCTCTATTTCAATCAGTTCCTGCTATTGTTTCACTCCAACCCTGAGCCTGATTTTCCTTATCTGTAGTTCTCCCATGGCTCCCTACCTCAGCTTTGTTTCTGACCCTACCTTGTACATAGAGAGGGGTTTACTTTCTCTTGCTGTCTTCCTGCTGTCGCTGTTGGGTTTACTTGCATTTTTCATCTGCTTTGCGCTGATATAAGTGGCTGCCCAAGAGAGAGAGCAGCAGGGAACCAGGTGCTAGATTTGTTGTGCTGGTGAAAGGTCTCAATCCTGAAAACCAAGGACCTCTTCTATCCTCATGGCAGTAATAATACAAACTTTCCTACTGCAACCCTAAATAGTGTGCGTAGTCCTAACTCCTAGAGACCAACCAGTGAAGTCTGAAGGGATTCAGGCCTTTTAACTACCACCCATCTGCCAAACACGGGGCCTATTTTAGTTGTGTTTTTTGCAGGGAAGTGGCAACTTCTGATGGAGACCTAGAAAAGCTGCTTCATGCAACTCCCCAGAAAAAAGGAGTGTTGGGTGAGGTGTTTCCAGGAGAGAGGAGGAAGTGTGAATGCCAATGTAGAAAGCACACGTGAGATTGTCTGGAATAGGGAGCAGGCACTGTACACATCATGTTCCAGAAAATGATTTTAAACCAAAGAAAAGCAGAGGAGGGGATTGTGGAAGAATGGAGAGTCTCTTATGAGAGAAGACTAAAAAAAAAAAAGCTTGGCTTGTTTGAGCTACCAAATGAAGGGGGAGAAAGGGGAAACAAACTAGTTTGATTTTAAAGGTCAGTGTGTAGGCACCAGGACAGATCCCTATGAATAAATCTAGGGTGGAAAATAGAGGAAGAATAACATGTAAAGAGGTTCTGGAGCAGACTTTCCAGAGAAGGTAGGGACCTGGACTTGAGGAGCAGCAAAGTCTTTTCCAGGCCCGTGTGCTTATAACAGCTCTGGGACCCTGCTAGCCAGGGTCAGATTCACCCCAGTTTCCCACGAATAAAATCTGCATTTCAGCTTGATCTTTTGACTCGCCAGTGCACCTACATCCTTCAATAGTTGGCCCTTGGCAGCTCCCACTTCCTCTTGGACTTCTGGGTCCATCACCTGATGCTGAAATCAGCCCTCTGTGCTTATACTACTACTTCTTCCTCTCTTTCTTTGTTGCAACATAACATCATTTCCTTCCTCACTGCTGCTGCTTGCGCAGGCTTTCCCCGTGCCTGTCCTTCCAGGCACTACAGGAGAGACCCTTCTGTTCAGAAAGGCCCCCAATGCCCCTATCCTTCCTTCCTTCCCCTTGGATGTGTGTGAATCCATCCAGGGTTTGTTTTTTTTTACCTGGAAGCCTCTTCATTGGTTTCCCTGGGCTGTCCTTATTCCCCACTAACTTGGCTTGAGTAACCAGCTTGGGTATTGTAGAAGTCAAATGAGCAGACAGTGTTGACTAATATAAAGAGTTGCAGACAGAACAACTTGCCCACTCTTAGTGGGGGCATGCTGGGTGGCAGTGGGTCTGCAGCAATCTGGAAGTGGGGTCTGTAACTTTTATCTATACTAGGTGATATGATCTATTTGCAGTGAGCTGACTTGATAATGCACTTGATAAATGTCTCAGATCTATGGACAAATTGAGTATTAAAGTTGTGAAGAGAATTGTATAATACTCAGGGCATGACTTTTGAGATACTCCTTATCATTAGTCAGAGCAGCCACTTTAATTACATTCCTGCCATAACAGGACATGTACAACACACACACACACACACACACACACACACACACACACACACACACACACACACACACACACAACTCCGAGCCCATCCCCTTAACTCCCATACACGTTGCTTTTGCTAAAATCATAGAATATAAGGTGGGAAAGGACTACAAGAGGTAACCTGGTCTATCCCATCCCCCTGCCCCAGGACACAATCACCCATACCTAAACCATTCCTGGCAGATATTTGTTAAACCTGCTCTTAGAAAACCTCCAGTGATGGATCCCACAACCCCTGAAATAATCCATGCCCGTGCTTGTATGGTATAGTTAAGCAATCATTAAGATAACATTTCTGATTTAAATGTCTCTAGTGTAATTTAAGCCTATTTGCTCTTGTCCTATCCCCTGTGGAAATGGAGAATAGTTTCAACCTTCTTCTTTGCAACATTATCTAACATATTGAAAGACTATTCTCTTGTCTCCCCTCCATCTTCTCTAGGTAACAAATATTTAGTTTCTTTCCAAAAGCCTGTTGCCCATGTATCTACATTATGCAGGCAGGTCACTACATCAGGACTCCTTAGGCATTTTTCAAACTAGTATGTTTAAACATATCGGTTTAGCCATTGTAAGAGTACTCCGGTACTTTGATTCATATAATATGGACCTTCTAAGATGGAAAGAGTCATTGGGCTGTCTGTAGTATAGCACAGCACCTCTGCAAAACGTGCTCAAGCTATTTATTGCAGGTTATGTTCAGCAAGACATGTTGTACCCACCATCAGTCTATCTGCATGTTGCTAACTGCTCATTTTTTCCCACTCTCCAAGTAGAAGATGAATCCAATAGCATTTGACTCTGAGTCTCAGCCACATGATGCTTTAGTGGGCTTGGAAGCTTGCAAAAATAATTGCCCAGCCATAGGTCTTCTAGATGACTCCTCAGGTATTTCCTTCATTTTCTTCAAAGCCAGACACCATATCAAGATTTCTATTTGCAGTGAAACTGGGCTCCCACCAGCTAAAGCGGGGCATGTTTTGAAAAATCTGTCCCATCCATGGCTGTAGAATTGCTATTAAATTAATTGGGGGGAAAAAAAAAGTCCATCTTTCTCCAGCTGCCACTCCAAGAGCCACCGCACAACTACTTCCGATGAAATTCCTAGCAGGCCTCCGACATGAGGCAGGTTTTGAATGCATATATTCAATTATAGCAGGGGTGGGCAAAATGGAGTCTGGGGGCTGGATGTGGCCTGCCAGGCCATTCTATCTGGCCTGCAGGGCCCCTAAAATTTTAGAAAATTAATATTTATCTGCCCTGGGCTGCCTGTCATGCGGCCCTCGATGGCTTGCCAAAACTCCAGTAAGTGTCCCTCTGCCCAAAATAACTGACCGCCCCTGAATTATAGCAACGACTTAACTCTGTTCCCTGTGTGCAGTTACACAGATGCAATCCATCTCCAGCATTAGTCCAGTTCAGTTTTTTATACCCTGGGAAGAATGGGTAATTCAGGGCGCGCTCATTCTTTTGAAGCTGATGGTAATGGCTTTAATGCAATGATGGCATATTCCACAGGCTCAGTAGGAAAATTGTTGTGTGTAATTGGAGCTTGACTTGGCTCAACGTTGGCGTAGATGGATTCATTTGGGCTGGTTTGGGATTTAAAGTTCAAGATAGCATATTTTAGGTCTTGGGATGTCCCCTCTTTGTCATCCTTGGGATCTTCTGTTTTGCCAACATCCTGCAGCTGGGCACAGAAAAGGCAATTACTTCTCATCATCTTTCATATCTACACAATAGATGCCCAAAGGATAAGAGTCATTCAGATAGGGAGGAAATGGAGTAATGAGTAATGTTACCCACTGTCCTGGGGAAGGTGGGGCAAGAGTGAGGCTTGTTCACTGTTCTCCTTTCCTGATGCCTACTGTCACTTCATCCTTTCAACTTTGCCTTCTAAGTGATGCCAGGTTTGCCCTCTCCGTGGCATTAAAGTGACTGCTTCTGTCCACTCTAAAGCACAATTGCTATTTGGTCCCATTACCATCTGGATCACTGCTCTCTTTCTCTGTGCTGCATTTAATACTGGTACTGTTGGCATTCCCAGATTTTGTCATAATGTGGCCTGATTTTAATATGGAGGCCATTTCACTGGCACTCCCCTTCACAGTCAACCCAAGGGACAACCTCCCTACTTTGTTTGCAAAGACTTCCTCATGGTAACTACAGCAATTGCACTTTATGGTTTTGAATGCAATCCAGCAGCTGGAAACGAGGAAAAGCCAGTGCCGTGGAATTAGCCATTTCCCCCAGCCCCCCAGAAAATGCTCCACAAGCAGTTTGAGTTAGGTTCATCTGGGGCTGTTAAATACATGAGTCATGGGTTTAACCACAGGATATTGCCAAACGTAGGACTGCTGTGAGGATATGGCAATTTACTCTGCACATATTGTTTCCTATACTCTTCTACTAAAGCCCATACTGGGCTAGATGGACCTTTGATCTGACCTCTTGCAGCTGTTCTTATTTATTCAACTCCCATGCTAATACCAAGGTAGCAAGTAGCTCTTACCACTGTGGGATTCCCAGGTTTGTCATAGATGCCTTCAGCTTGTTCACCACCTTTTCCTTAAGACAAGATTGAATGCGTTAGAAATGCAAATCCCACTTAGTCCTGGGTATGTCTCATAGGACACACATATAGGTGAAGGTCACAGAGTGCACTGGCTGACTCAGCATTCTTTGTCACTTGTGTTGCGTCTACTTAAGAGGGGGAACAAACAACCCCTTGCTGATGCCTCTCTCATTAAACATGAGTTTGATATCTCTTTGCTTCAGTATCTACACATACTATGTTATTCTTTTCAAAACCAAACCATTTTGCATGGTTCTTTTATGCAAGGATCACACAGAGGTGAGAGGGGAAACTTTCAAGTAGTTCAGGCTCAGAATGTAGGCTTTTTTGCAGAGAAGTTTCATGAAGACTCTCTACAAAGTGTCAGAGTAGTTTGCTCGGAGGTAGTCATTCCCTTGCTGTGTTTGGATTACAGAGGCTCATGTACATGCTACGATTCTTGCTTTTTCACGAGCTGCAACATATTGCAGTGATGGGCTTGTGCACAGGGACAGTGGCCTGGACACCAAAATGGAATCGAGGAGTCTAGACAGTGTGGAAGGGAGTAAGCAAGTGGAGCCTAGGGGCTTGCTGGTCCAGAGACACAGATCCATCCTCGGCGTGCTCCTCCTGCTTGTGAGGTGGAAGTGATCATGATGGGAGCCCTCAGTGCTGCTGCTCCCAAGCTGTGCCTGCCTTATGTTCTCCAGAGCTGCTCAGGCTGGCAGGAGGTTAGCAACAGCACGGCCACATGTGGCACCAACAGCCCTCCACTTACCTCTCTTCTTCCGCTGCCTGATGTACAGTATTATTGAGCTGATAAGTGCCAGGGCAAGGAGGACTCCCAGGACCACACCGAAGATGACGAAGGGGGTATCACCTAAGGGAAGCCTGAGGAAGCAGATGTATGTTCACTGTTAGAAGATAGAAGGAAGGCAGAATTCTTCCTCTCACCTTAACACACACCTAGTGGGCACCTGGACAAAAGGCTGGGATAACTCACCCACCTATAGGGCTTGTTCTCATTCTGTGATGCATGACTGGGGGCTCTGAGGAGCTACCTCAACACAAGTGATACAGATATTAAAGAAGAGACCAAGTTGATTCAAACACTAAGCTGAGTAAAGGTGGAATGCTAATGGAGAAGTATTTACTGGGGCTCTTGCAGCTTTTACTGGTGATTGCTGGCCAGCTTGGGGAGTTGGGAGTGGGGAAAAGGCAAGTTAGCTCTTTTTAATGATTGATGGAGAGGATCATTTAGGTTTAGCATAGCACATCTGGAGTCATTTCTCTTGCTCCAAAGAGCAGCAGCCAAAAGGGTTACTGATGACGTAGTGACTAGACAAGTAAATTCTCACTGAGGCTGGCACTCATCTTTCACCTTCCCATTTTATCCTGGGTGACTTAATCCAGGGAAGCAGCTGGAGGGTGGAAGGTACGAGGGAAGAGGTACCTATTTGGTACCTTTTAAACAAGGTCTGCCTTGTCCAGCCTCATGCTAAGGAAAAGGCTTCAGAATACCTAAAGACTATGGTGTCCCAGAGAGAAAAGTACACATTGGATGAGACTTCAGTGACTATGGGCTGATTCACAAACACAGAGGCTTTCTTTGAGGGAGCTCGAAGCCTTACCTGCTGCTTGGTGTGCTGGCTCCTGGGCTAGTAGTGATGATGGGTGTTGTGTGACTTGTGCTTGTAGCTGGAGCTGCAAATACAAATGTAGAGTGGAACAATTGGACACTTTCAACAGTTCAGGTCTTTGAAACTCCAGCTGTTACCTGATACAGTTTCCTGCCACTGCAGCCCCACAGGTGCCAGGCAAGAGTGGCCAGCCCAGGCAGGCTGTCACCATTGCATCAGGCCAACCTGATTGGAGCAGGTAAAACAAAACAGGTAACAATGGCAAGGGAGCGATGTGAAGCCAGTCTATGATCGTGCTCCCAGCGCTGCTCCTGAGAGAGGTGCATGGTGTAAAAGTTGGGGCAGGAAATCGGGAATTATCTGGGAGGCGATACAGACTTGGGAGCAGAGAGCTGGAGGGAGTGGGAAGGGGAAGCCAGACCCTGTAGACAACCACATTTATTTCTGACAAACACTTGCTTACCCTTGGAAACAGCCAATTGAACTTCAACTAGCGGGTAAAGGTGAGGAGGGTCATAAAGTGCGCACCAGTAGACACCAGAATCATCCGCTTGTAGCTTCTCCATGGTGATGGCCACAGTCCCGTCTTGAGTGTTGTCGAGTATTGTGGTTCTTTTAGCCTGGCCTTGATATCGATAGCTCACACGGCTGGCGTACGTGCTGACCAAAACATCGCACTTTCCCTTGTCTGTGTATCGGCACCAGGCTTTCCCGTTTCCGCTGTAGTCCCGTGCGCTGTATGGACACCGGACAGTGAGATTCTGCCCCTCCACAGCTTTGTGTTCCTGGACACCTATGAAAACATCACGCATGGTCAGTAGGATCCAGGTGACAAGTCTGGGGATGAGAGAAATTTGCTGTGAATGATACACAGGTGGACGGGCAAATTCTTCCCTGGTCTAACTGCTTTCACTGACATCTGTTCAGTTGCGATCGGGGTGAGCTCGAAGGGGAGATTTCAGTGTGAAGCGCCCTGCAAGCCAACTAAGGAGAAGGCAGACAGTCGCCCTGAGACCATCTTAGAAGAGAGGCAAGGGTTTCTTACAGTCATATATTTTACAAGACTAACTGCAGAGTTGGGATGGAGTTAAATAAATACTTGAAAGCAAGACATCCTTCATCAGGGCTCGTCTTGGAAAAAATCTTAGCAGTAACTGGACCATGTCCTGGGGGTTGAAGAGAAGAATGAAGAATTATTTCTTAAGAAGAAGTACCAGGAACCTCCTGGCTGAATCCCTCAGCTCCCTTGTGATCCAGGCTGGTTGCTTCTGTGAGACGAGAAAGAGGGACAAAGGTATGTGCCGAGTAGGAGACAGGGAGGAAACTGGGAGAAGTTGATAGCAAGTGCAGTAGGTAAGGTGAAAGCTGGTAAGGAAGGAATGGGGTTTACTTTGTAAGAAATGTACTCACGCTGATAAACCCACAATCGAATGGTCTTTAGAGGGTAAACTTCATTAGGGAAAAATAGTGTGCACGTGTACATTCCTGCATCCTGCATCTGGAGCATCTTCATGGTGATGTTTACAACCCCCTTGTCGGTGTCATCCTGTATTGTGGTTCTTCCAACAGTGACCTTTTGATAATCTCCTTGAGTGGTGTATTGGGTTCTGACTAAAAGATAATGTATTCTACCTCTTAGCTGGTACCAGCCTTTCAGTAGTTTTCTGTATTGCTGTTGGTTATAGGGACACTGGACAGAGAGGGTCTGTCCTTCCTTTCTGGTCTCCACAGCGTCGTACTCTTGGGGTTCGAGTCCTGGAAAACACAAAGCTGCATCAGTGAGGGCTGTGCTGGAGCTTCCCCACACTTAGGAGCCTCGCGCTCCAGCATTTGATTTGAGCACAGCATGAACACCAGGGCTGGGAGGAAAAGAGTGGGCTCAGGATGAGCAGCGCGTTCAGTTCATCCCCCAGCTACCCACTGGCAACTGCTTCACAAATGTGACCTCCCACTGTGTTTGCTGCCGGTGCCTCCTGCACACCTGAGCGCTCCCCAGGTTTTAGTCTCTTTTCCTCTGAGGATTTGCTGCATCTACAGTGTCTTGAGTGGTGTGAGCTCCCTGTGCCATCTCTGCCCTTTGCCATGTCTGTATTGTCAGCTGCAAACAAGCTCCAATGTAGCCAGTGCAGCTGCATCTGGATCAGTAGATCCAAGTGCCATCAGAGGCTGCAGTGTCAGAAGAAAAACACCATGAAAGTATTTTACCTTTCAAACCAACTCAAAGCAAAACACCCTCGGATTTCGTGGGCCTTGTTCTGGTCTCATACCAGTATCTCACTAGTTATTTCCATGCACCCCACTGGGGTTATTCCTGAGTTAACTCCCAGGTGAGTGAATAAGGTGCCTTAATATGTGCTGGCTGTTTCTCTGCTCGGGCATGGAGATGGCCGTGGTGCCCATAGGCTCTTGTGCTTGTTCTTTTTTTTTTCCTTTTTCTGGACTGTTGCTGTAATATCCAAAAGCTGCTGTTTCCACTGCCACATTTTCATATGCCTCATTCATGCTTGTTGGGTAGAGTGCTATGAGTAATGAAGAGTGTAGGGAGAGGGGTATCCCTGACTGCAGGAAGTTGATGCACATGCCCTGTCCTGTGTAGTACAGTATTCCTGGGGGACTAACCCAGAAGGGACCCACTAATCTGACTCGAAGACACCTCAGGGCAAAATTTCAGCAGCTACCAAGCAAAAAATTGAGATCTCGGCCTCCTTTTACGTGTCCTCGATTGGAGCTGTGGAGCAAGGCTAGTGCAGGGGGGAGAAGGAGTTTGATTTTTTTTCCATTTGCATTTTCAACTTTTTTGCAGCTTTTAAGTGAAAACACTGGATTTTGGCCATCTGAAAATCTTGAGTTGGGGGATGGTAAGTGTTATCTAATGAGATGCTGAATTGTCTACAGAAGGCAAACGGAGATAAGAGAACAGGCCAGTCTTGCACTGAAGACCAGTATTGGTGGCGTTGTTTTAAACCCGTTCTCCTGGAGGGGGCTGAACAGTTCTGCAAATCCGGCCCTCCAATCTGCTGCTTGCGACTTAGGCGGTGGGAACTGCCTCGGGCAATAAAATCATGTTCTTGCCCTTTTTCTCTGGCATAAATGGGAAGAAAGTGCCAGAAATCACTAGGTTTACTTGGTGTGGGCCAGAATTACAGTAGTTTCTATCTCTGTAATCTGGACTTCCCATGGCTGCCATGTCATTTTCTACATGTGACAGGTGGCAGAGAGGGCTGAGGGGATGGTCAGAGGCAGGGAGGGGAGAGCTCTGCAGTGAAGAGGAAACTGTTATACCCCAGAGAAGAGGAAGTGCTTGGGCAGTGGTTTTAGCTAGAACTGCACTTGGCGGGCGGGCGGGGGGGTGGTGGTGTTGGTTTCTTGGCAGTGATTATATGCTGTTTGTGGTGTTTCCACTTGCACGCACTCCCCACGGGCTCTTTGGTGACCGGTTTAGAGTTCAAGGTGTTTCAATCTGAGCAGGGGCTTTGGAGGAGAGATGCTCCACACAGAGGTGAGAGTGTGAGGCACAGGGAGAAGAGGGCTGCAGTAACAGACTCTCAACCATGTCCTTTCTGGGGAGTGTCTAAAAATATGGGAAATCTGCTGCAACCTTAGTTGTGTCATTTCCAGTGTTTCTCAAAAATACTTCACAACAAATTTGCTCTTCCTTGATGCCTCCCAAAGGCATCCCCCACTTCCTATGCAGCAGCTTTCTTCCCGCAAAGGTGCTACTGGGCTGAATCAGGTCCTGTTTCTGCCTCACTAACAGTGCAGGGCCGTGCACACCTTCAGCTCTATGCCCAGCTTCTGTCTGGGGTGAAAGAGCTGAGTTGGGTCCATATTACCCCTTGCTATACCTAGGACAGGGCAGATCCATGGAAATAGTCCTGGGAGGTCCCACAGAAGCACCTTAAGGGAAACAAACCCAGGGAGATATATTTTAGGGGCTATGAAATAAGTACCTGGAGCCCTTCCTGCGTGCCTGTGCAGTGACTTGCTGGCACTTCTTGTGGATGCAGGAAGGCGTTTAGGCTGGGTTGCTGTGTGCTCAGCAGTGTTTGCCCATTGAACCTGGAGCCCCCAGACCCCAGCGGGTGTCCATGAGGGGTATCTCCAATGACTGTAATTGCACCACAGTGATTTAGTCCAGCTGAGGATACAGCTTGGTCTGGCTGTCAGGGTTCCCAGACATCTTGCAGCGTTCTGATAGCAACCCGTCTTGCTGTGTGTCTGATGAGACTGGGACAGAAAATCCCACCAGCCCCTGACAACCCACAAAATACCAAATCCCCTCTCCTCTTACCTGGGATGCAGAGGCCCAGCCACAGCAGCAGGACCACAGCAGCAGGTCTCCACTCCATGCCTGCCTTTAAGCACAGAAGAGCCTCATCTCTGCAGCGCAGAATGGAAAGTGGGTTGGAGTTCTAGTGGGTGTCTCTTATCGATGCTGACGCCACAGGAGGATGTGTCCGGGCCGTTGTTTTGGCACGGAAACTCATCATCATATTTTGCAATGAAACTGATATTTCAACCATGTCATATTGTGCATTTGGGGAAGTGGCGGCTATCAGCAGAGCTCGGGCGGTCCAGGAGGGAGGGGCCCTGGATGACATCACGGTTCACCTTTGTGCTGTGGGTATCTATTTACTTCACTTCCACAAGTGATGGGGGGTGGGGTGGGGGGAGGAGGCTGGCATTTTGGGCTCTAAGCTTCCTTGGGTGGGAAGGGGGAGACTTTTTAGCTCGTGCTATTTTTATGTTTGGGAAACTCCTTCCATAAGGGTTGAATGAGCCTCCTGTAACCACCTCTGATGCTGCTGACCCTGGGATGACAGGTGTGGAAATTGCTGCTGCTCCTGTTCTGGGACTCTGAATCCATTCCTTTTAACAGGCAAAGGACTTTGAATTAAATTATTGGACTGTACAGACGGCTATCAGGTATAGTCACTGGCAGTACAGCTTCCCCTTTAGACCAGTTTAACAAGCACTGGACCTTAGGTCGAAGTAGGTCTTGTCCTTGCTTGGTCCTCTTTATGCCATTGCCTCATGGAGGACGCCACCCCGAGTTCCTGTGCAGGTGCCAAGAGATCAGGCAGGGTCTTTCTGTGAATGGCACTACGTTTATCCCATCTCCTTGCAGTTCTGATTTTGCCACCCCCCTCACACTTCATCTCTGCATCTCTTCTGCCCGTACTCCGGTGGTGACACCAGAGGCCAACTAGCAGGCAGGGGAGCTTGAGGCAAGATGGTTCAGGTTCAGGCTGAGTTTAATGGCCCCGCGGTGCAAGGAGAAGGGGCATGTGACCCAGAGACAGCTGGCAGCTTTTAACAGGCAAAGGACTTTGAATTAAATTATTGGACCTCTCTGGGTCACATGCCAGGGTAACTATACCTGATAGCAGTGCAGCTTCCCCTTTTGACAAGTTTAACTAGCACTAGACATTAGGTCGAAGTAGGTTTTAGCCTTACCTGGTTCTCTTTATGCCATTGCCTCATGGAGGATGCCACCCTGAGTTCCTCTGCAGGTGCCAAGAAATCAACCAGGGTCTTTCTGGCAAGGGCACTACTTTCATCCCAGCTCCTTAGTTTGGTGCAGGAGGGCTGGTGCTGCGGGTCCCTTTAGTGCTTTCTACCCCTTGCTGTGCTGTGCATGGCATAAGGACATCTCCCCTTACATTCGTCATGGAGAAGAAAATGAAGCCCTTTGATCTGCAGTCTCAGCACAGATAGCAGCGGTGGCATCTTTCTTTCTCCTGGCCACAACTGGCATGACTTGAACCTGCACTGAAGGGGCCATGTCTCACTGGCCAGAGGAGTGTCAACACCTGTGACCATCTGTCCTCAGCCATTTTGGCTGATGTTGCTGTTCACTAGTCATTCTTGCAGTGGAGGAGGGTGGTGAGGCATGAGTCCCTTGACTGGGACCCTATAACCTCATTTCGCAGACAGCTTTGAACAGTGCGGTAACTGCTACTGCTGCCCGACTCGCAATGAGCTGGATTCTTCCCACCGGTGTGAAATCCACCATTTTCTATGGGTGTGTTTCTCTGTATTTTGCTGTTCTCCACTGAGCCAGTGCCATTGTCTCCAGGCATGCCAGTGCAAGTTGTGCAGCGTTTCCCCCATTGCCTGCACCAGGGCTGTTTCCTGGAGTGCACTCTTCTGAAGAAAGGTGAAAACGTTGACTTCTCTTTCAGCTTGGCACATCTTGCGGGGTTCTTCCTCTTTAAGCAAGCCACAGACTTTGTTAACTCAACATCTCTGACACTTTCTCAGTGATCCAGGGATTATGGGGGGCAGAGAGACGCCCTACTGTGTTTCCTGGTCTCCTTTCTCAGAGGAGATGATGGCTGCATGGATTAGCCGTCCACGTGGGACACTCTTGGTTTCAGACACTGCGGACATGTGAAGCCCTTTCCCCTCGTACCAAGTTAGGAATACAGTTTAGCCTGTGCTTGACTGGGACTGCAGGTGACCTGTGCACAGTGTCTTGTGCTCGGGGTTTGCACAGAGCGAACTTTACTAGGGAGCAAACTCTGTCTGTGTCCGATGGACACGACCATGTGTGATCCATCCAGTGCTGACCCAGAGTCCTTGTTGCTGGCCAGTCTTGGGTCATGTATGTGCAGAGGAGCAGATTAGGCAACCTCTGAGGGCCCTTTCAACTCTGTGCTGCATATCTGTAAATCCCATGGAAAAGCTAGAAAGAGGCAAAGGATCTCTCAGCCCAGAGATGCAGCGGCATTTCCTTTCCCTTCAAGGAGAATAAGGAGCTGGGGCTAGTTCATCTCACTGCTTGGTGTCATGGGATTTATAGATTGCCGTGAGTGGAAGGTCGCTCTGTCCAGTGGAAGGCATCAGATAATCCCATGCTTCAGAGCTGTTTGAAATCACCACCTGGAACCAAGAAGGATTTTGTTGTCCTCAAACAAATGTTTCCTCCATGTTGGACTGTCGTGGACTGCAGTGGTTTTTTGTCTTCCACTGTAGGGTGGAGTGCAGTCCTCTTCCTAGTTGTCATAAGGCCCTTTCCCTGCTAGAATGGGAACGGGATCCCGGGGTACCTAGCCCTTTTCCCCTCCTTCACCACCTCCCTCCACCTTTTCCTCTCAACTTGTGTGTGTTTGCTGGAGCATCCTTTTCCTGGTAGAGGTCCCTTCTCCCCCATTTCCTTGTTATGTAGTTCTGATTTTGCCACATCCGCACCCTTCCACTTCATCTCTGCATCTCTTCTGCCTGTACTGCAGTGGTGGCACCAGAGGCCAGCTTGCAGGCAAGGGAGGCTTGAGGCAAGATGGTTCAGGTTCAGGCTGAGTTTGATGGCCCCAGGGTGCAAGGAGAAGGGACATGTGACCCAGAGAGGTCCATCTAAGCCCATGCCTCAGGTCATGGAGTGGAAGTCTGGATGTGGAAGCTGCCAGGGACAGACCCTTCTCTGTAAGGTGTGAGGACTGGAGCCCAGACTGTGGTGAGAGGACTTGGGAGGCAGCCCCGAGTGAAGAGAAGCAGGGACCTGCATAGGAAGCAAGCCAAGTACCCCAGGCACCTTCTGTTTGTTTCATTTCTACTTGGACCCGTCACCACGGGGTGTGATGAACCACATCCAGCACGTTCGTTTGAACCGGAACTGGTGCTTGCATTTTGTGGTTTTCATTTTCCCCTGGAGGGCCAGATTGTGGCTGTAGGGGAGGCGGAGACCACTGAAAGGGGGTGACTGGGGACACCCCGAACTTGAAATTCCACTGAAAGGACGGAGGGTAAGGACTGAAGTATGCTCCATGGCCACATGAGGCCGAGCAGGCCTGGACTGTAAGGCAGGAGGGTGGCAGGGGAAAGACAGCTTGAGGCCCCTGGCTGCCTATGTAGCACCTATTGCGGGTTCTGGAACAGCACCTGTTTTGCAGGGAAAGTGTGGTCTGGATGTTCTGGAGGGTAAAACATCAACAAGGAGTTTTCAGGCTTTATTGATGTTTATTTGCAGCTAAGTAGGGAGGTCACAATGAACACAGCTGTGTTGAGTATGTGACTACCACAGTTCTTCTGTAGGCCACCCAGGAGAGGGCTCCCCTTGCTAGGGATGTGCAACAGCATGCCCTTGGGGAGGGACATAGTGGCCTGGACCAGTCGGCACAGGGAGGGAAGCAGTATGTGACTTCTCCCCTGTGGTAAGGAACTGCTCTGTTGTCAGGTACAGAGCTGATGAGAGAGCCCCTGGGGCCTTTACTGACAGGAATCCTAGTTAGCAGGCCAGATAGTTCGTTATCACTTCTCAGTGCCATTATGCACGAAACCTGGAGCGTGCAGCATAGAAAGGGCCCCGTCTCTCCTGAGATGAGGGCTTGGATCCAGTGTGGAGGATAGGCACCAGGCAAGGGGATCTGCCAGTCTGGAGAGCCTCAAGACATGTTCCCTTTTGGTATGTCTCTAGCGCTGCTTTCTGCTGTTGTGTTGCCTTGTAGTGAATGAAGAAGACTTCTCTGGCAAAGACTGCGTCTGTGATGGGCAGTGTGCACTGTAGCTCAATGAGGAGAGGATTGGGTTGACTCTTTCTGCAACTGGTACAAAAAGTCTCTTGAAAAGGGTTGGCTTAGCCCATCTATGCAGAGGATTTAGGAAGAGAGAGGTGTGGGGATGTCCTTTGTCCTGTATTTCTTTGCAAACTTTGCCTAGTTACAGTGTGACAGTTCCCACCCCCATTCATGGGGGTGCGTTTTGGGTCAGGAGTGACTTTTTAAAATCCTGTATACAAGGTCTCCGTTTCTTCCCAGACACCCTGTGGTCAAGCACTCCGGCCCGCTCGCAACTTCAGTGCACCCGGTCATGGAAATGAGGCATCGTAACCTGCTTGGAGGAGTCCTCAGTGGGTGCCAGTATGCACACTGAGTACAGAGGGCCTGAGAATATGCTCTCAGGGCTGCTCTGTCTTACCCTAACACAGCTACAAGCCTGATCTTCAGGATTGAGGAATACTTCCTTGGAAGTAGTCCTATCAGGGTAAAGTGTCCAAATGTCCCAAAGTCATCGCTTGAGCTCTTCAGTTTTTACTGTCCGGAAGAAAGACTCCTCTTCTCTGTGCAGAACCCTTGCTCATTTGACTTAATGTAGAATCTCCTTTTGGCCAGCACTGAGCTATCTAGCGTTCCCTGTCTTGATGAACTGATGAGATGCTCTTGACCTAGTGGGCTCTGTCACACAACAGGGAGGCTTCATGCTGGTATCCAGGCTGGCTGCTGAGGTTATAGCAATGTTGTCTGAGAAGGGAATCGTAATTCCCCAGCTGCTCTGGTACCACCAACAATAGACGTTTTAGTTGGGACAAGATGCAGTCACCTGGACTCCTGTAGTGGTTAACTCTACTTAGTAAAGGGCTACATGAGATGATATATCTGTGTCCTGGCTACCTGAGAGCACCATCACTGGGAGAAGCTATTAATTAAATCTGGTTTCCATGGCTGCCAACATTAGCAAAGACCATGAGGAATTTCCTCAAGCAGCCTGGCTTCAACTGAGAGTCAGTCTTGCTTTAAGGTGTGCTGCTCTGTGGCACCATGAAATCAAGGTTTCAGATTCGTTCAGATGCCTCCTCTGCGCAGTCGTCTTCTCACGAGAAGAGCTATTGTCACGGCCATCAGGGTCTTGGTGGTCAGGAGCCCAAGCAGGAGGACAGGCCATGAGCTGGATTGGAAAGAAGGAGAGGGGAGTGAGCTGATAAGGAAGAGGAGGGCTTCAGAAGAGACATTATGAATGACTGTCACATGGGAGCGCTGCCCGGCTCCTTTACTGTGCAGGGGGGACCGAAGCTGCACCCTGTGCGTGAGATTGAAATCCCATTCTGTGCATGCCACTAGTTTGCAGCAGTGATCTCTCTCTGCTTGACCTAGGTTACAACATCTCTTTTCACCTTTGGTAGTAATGGAAATCACTGTATTGTGGTTTATGGGAAGTCAAAGCTCATTTCCTCAGGAATAACAACAGTTTACCTGATGCCGAAGGAGACCTCACTGTTTTTCTGTGGCTCCCTGTTGTTCCTGGAGTCAGGTGTGGAGGATTTCAAGGCAGGACCAGTGTATGGAGTAGTTGGGATGTTTTCCGTAGTTAAACCTGAAAATAAAAAGCCCTGTGATTTCCAATAGTCACCCTGTCTGAGACGCAATTATTCCCTGGATATCCCTTCCCCCGCGCTCCATGTTACTCCTGCTCATCATCTGAAAAACTGCCCAAGAAACCATGTTTTGTGTTCATCCCCAGCGCGGAGATGAAACCATCCACTTTATGGCAGAGCGTAAACTTGCTGTCAGGAAGTGAAGAGGCACTTCTTGTGTTTGTGATGTTTGCTGGTGACTGCAGTGAAGTTATCTCTAGATGCTGGGAGATGCAATAGGCTTCCTTTTTGAGAGAAGGGAGCATGATGGGCATCCCCTCATCATGCTCCAGGTCACTCGGGCTAGTGATCTGAACACTACGAGCAAGTGCAGTTCCACCCAAATCTGATGCCATGGCATGCTCCTTTACACCAGCCAAGGACTTGGCCCTGGTGTGTCATCCGTTGTCATCACCTGCACTAGAAATATGCAAGGAGAAACCATAGACTTTCATAATGAGTCCTCTACCAAGTTTTGCTTCCCCAAGCAATTCAAACCTAGTGTATAACTGCAGAAAATTATGGTTGCCAAGAGCTCCTCAGCTCTTGGCCCAAACTCTGAAACCCCTTCTTTTCGGTTGCTTTCCAAGGTGGCGTCTGACTGAGCTCTGTCTCTTCATCAAGTGGAGCGTCTTCAGTAATTTATGTGGGTGTACACTGGAAGGTGGGGTGGGTAAATTGGAGGTCCCCCCACCTCAGTACTGCATCTGATCCCCCAACCCCCAGGAATCAACAGGGAATGTCTGTTGGGTCCCGGGGATTGCTGTAATCCTGGCACTTCCTGTGAAGCGCCATGAGTTACAGTGGGGAGCCGCACTTCTGTCTGTGCCTTCAGTGGCTCCCTTGTTCTCTTTTGGCCTTCAGTGGCAGCTCTTAGAAAGCTGTTGGTCTCCTCATGTCAATGCACTTAGAAAAATATATTCTTTGTATTTGGAAAATCGTTGGAAATTAGAGCTCTTCTAAACATTTCACATTTTTTCGATCTCATGTACCTAGTCACATCTGCACTAGCTGTAGTGGAGAAGACTAATTCAGCTGCTATGGAGGTGTTCAGGTATTAAGAAGCTGAGGGCTGGAGGAGAACATACCCAGTACACCTGAAAGGGGGAAATAGTTCTTAGTAGTGAGATTCAAAAAGAGGAGGTGAAGGCTAAACAACAGGAGCAAACATTCGGGAGTTAACAAGGAGTTGATACAAACTCTGCCAGAGAGAGAGCTGGAGGAAGTGGGAAGGGAAAGCCAAAATCTGCCAGCAAGAACATTTTTTCCAACACTCGCTTACCCTTGGACACAGCCAATTGAACTTCAAATAGTCGGTAAAGGTGAGGAGGGTCATAAAGTGCACACCAGTAGACACCAGAATCATCAGCTTGTAGCTTCTCCACGGTGATGGTCACAGTCCCGTTTTGAGTGTTGTCGTGTATTGTGGTTCTTTCAACCTGGCCTTGATTTTGATATCTCCCATAGCTGAAATACGTGCTAACAAGGACATCGCACTTATTCTTGCCTGTGTATCGGCACCAGGCTTTCCTCTCTCTGCTGTAGTTCTGCATGCTGTACAGACACTGGACGGACACATTCTGCCCCTCGACAGCTTTGTGTTCTTGGACTCCTAAGAAAACATCACATGTGGTCAGTAGGATCTGGCTGACAAGTGTGGTGTGGAGAGAAATTTGCTGTGAATGATATGATGGACGGACAGACAAATTCTTCCCTGGTCTGAAGGAACTGGTATTCGGTCTGAAGTGCCCTGCAGGCCAACTAAGGAGAAAGCATACAGTCAGTTTGAAGTAGTCTTAGGGTGATATCTTTTACTAAACTAACTGCAGAGTTGGGATGGAGTTGCACAAATATATGAAAGACATCCTTCATGGGGGCCTGTTTTGAAAGAAATCTTAGAAGTCATTTGACTGTGTCCTGGGGGTTGAAGAGAAGAATGAAGAATGGTTACTGAAAAAGCACCAGCAACCTCTTGGCTGAATCCCTCAGCTCCCTTGTGATTGAGACTGGTTCCTTGTGTGAGACGAGAAAGAGGGGACAAAGGTACATGTACGGTGAGAGACAGCGGGGAAACTGAGGGATGTTGATAGCAAATGCGGCACGTTGGACGGAAGCTGAGAAGGAAGAAATGCCATTTAGTTAATAGGAAATGTACTCACGCTGGGAAACCTTCAATTTAATTATCTTTAGAATATGAACTGTATGATTATGGCCAAAGCATCCACACATGTAGACTCCTGCGTCCTGCAGCTGGAGCCTCTTTATGGTGATGGTTACAGTTCCCTTGCTGTTGTCGTCCTGTATCATGGTTCTTTCAAGGCTGGCTTCCCTCTGATAACCTCCCAGAGAGGTGTATTGGGTACTGACTAAATGATAATACGTTCCACCTCTTAGCTGGTACCAGGCTTTCAGTGCTTCCCTGTATTGCTGTTGGTCATAGGGACACTGGACAGAGAGGGTCTCTCCCTCCTCTCTGCTCTCCACAGCGTCGTACTCTTGGGCTTGAAGTCCTGGAAAACATGAAGCGGGGTCAACAAGGGCTGTGCTGGAGGCAGGGCGGCCTCCCCAGTCCTGGGAGCCTCGCACTCCTGTATTTGATTTGAACACAGTACAAACAACAGGGCCGTGAGGACCAGAGAGGGCTCAGGATAAGCAGTATTTTCAGTTCATCCCCCAGCTCCCTCACAAAGGTGACCTCCCACTCTATTTGCTTCCTACGCCCCCTGCACACCTGAGCACTCCCCAGGCTTTAGTCCCATCTCCTGTATAAGGATTTGCTGCATCTACAGTGTCTTGAGTTGTGTGAGTTCCCTGTGCCAACTCTGCCCATTGCCACACCTGTATTGTGAGCTGCAAACAAGCTCCAATGTAGCCACCGCAGCTGCATGCAGATCCCTAGAAGTAAGTCCCATCACACACACTGCAGTCTCATAGAAGAAAAATATTGTGGAAGTATTTTACTGTTTGAACCAACTCAAAGCAAACATCCTCAGATTTCCTGGGCCTCGTTCTGGTCTCATACCAGCATGACATTTGTTATTTCCATGCATCCTACTGATATTATTCTTAACTTACTTCCAAGTGAGTAAGAAAAGTGCCTTGAAATGAGCTGGCTATTTCTTTTGTTCTGGCATGGAGATAGCCTTGGTGCCCATAGGCTCTTGTGTCAGTGATAATTTTTTTTGGGTTTTTTTAATTTTATTTTGGGGAGGGGACAGTTGCTGTAATATCCAAGTCCTGCCCTTTCCCCTATCACATTGTCCATATGCTTCATTTACAGTTGCTGGGTGAAGCGCTGTCAATAATTATTAGTTTTGGGGGAGGGATCTCTATGACTGAAGCAAGTTGATTGATGCACACACCTTATTTCTCCCTTATTACTCCTGTATAGCACAATATTTTTAGGCAGCCACACCAGTGGGGTGCCCAGTTATATTTGCTATGATATACATAGGGCTTGGTTTAAGTCGCAGGCCCAGCTTGCTAATACCATATCTCGATTGTGGTGTGCCATTTCCACACCCAGAAAGTAGCACTGCCACAACACTTCCAACTGGCCAAGGAGAAGGGTTAGGGCCAGGTTTAATTGCAGAAGAAGCAGCCTTGCTCCCAAGGCCTCTGATTGCTGCTGAAATGCCCATTGGAAGAGGCAGGAACAGCAGTAGCAGTCGCCTGCCCCGAGTCGTTTGAGAGGCAGGGAGGAGACTCCCCTTTAAAAAATGCTGCTCTGCTCTGCCACACTCCTGGCCCATCGCAAGTGAGTCTGGCACTGAGCTCAGCATCATCAGGCAGTCAGCAGATATTCACCTACCTGGTGCCAGGATCATCTGCAAAGGCAGCCCCCAGGCCCCTCCAATGCCCCATGCCCTAATTTCCCCACCTAGAGAAGTAAACAGTCCCTCACTACCCACCCCAATCTCTCTCCTCCCCTTGTCCCTTTTCCAACCTCTTCCTCCCTGCCCTGGGCTGCTTGGCTTTAGCTGCTGGCTTGGGGAATGCTTTCCCCATTTTGTGCAGTTCAGGAGCTGATCCAGGCATTGCAGTGAAAACTCCCAGGGACTGGGAGAGCTTGACCTGGGGGGGTCAGGATTCCCAGATGCCCGACGTGGTTCTGATTTGTACGCTTCTCCCGGCGCCTCTGATGCGGGGACAATGGAAAATACCACACAGATCCTACCTGCCCCGATAACTCACAAGGCATCAAATCCCCTTTCCTCTTACCTGAGATGCAGAGGCCCAGCCACAGCAGCAGGGGTAGGGGTCTCCACTCCATGCCTGCCTTCAAGCCCAGAAGAGCCTCATCTCTGCAGCGCAGAGTAGAGTTTTGTTTTGTTTCTTATGGGAAGTGGCTGGAGATTTGTCTTGTTACGGAAATCCATCACCACATTTTGCAACGAGGCTCATCTACAAATAGTTAAGTTGTGCATTTGGAGGAAGTGGCTGGGATCAGCAGAGCTCAGCCGGTCTGCAGGCAAGGGGCCTTTTGCTGATCACTTCATGTGTTGTTACTGAGGAACGTTGTACCAAGGGTATCCATTTAGTTCAGTACGTGGAGTGATGGAGGAGAAGAGGGAGACTCTTGAGACCATGCCATTTTCGTATTTGGGGAAACTCCTCTCATTATGGGTGCATTTCCCTCCTAGAAGCACCTCTGATGCTGCTAACCGTGCAGTAACAGGTGTAGAAATTGCTGCTCTGTCTCTTCCTTTTTAAAAGTAAAGAACTTTGGAGGAAATGATTGTACTCCGCTGCTGGCTGTTAGGTACATTCACCAGCAGTGCAGCTTCTCCTTGCACCTCTTTCTCTTGAGATCCAGGTCTCCTCTATAAGAAGCTGTATAGATTTGTTCAAGGCATGTCTTCTCTTTGCTTGGTTCTGTTTGTGCTGTTGGCCCATGGAAGAGGCCACCTGCAATTCCTCTGCAGGTACGAAGAGGTCAAGCATAGTTTTTCTGGCATGTATATGTGCAGAAGGTCACTAAGTTGATCCCAGCTCCTTGGTCTTGTTGGGGAGGGCTAGTACTGAGAGTCTCTAGTGCCTTTACCCCTTGCTGTTTTGGGCCTGGCATAAGTATGTCTCCCTGTGCATTATTCAAGGAGAAGAAAATGAAGCCCTTTGATCTGCAGTCTTAGCACAGATAGTAGCTGTGGCATCTGTCCTTCTCCTGGCCACAACTGGCATGACTTGTACATAACCCCCCTGGACTGAGACCTTATAACCTCATTTCTCATATGCCTTTGAACTGTGCGCTAACTGGTTCTGCCCTCCTAACTTGGACAATGAGCTGGATTCTTCCCCTGTTCACACTTGTGCAAAAAGCACCTGTGTCCAGGAGTGTTTCTCTGCATCGCACTGGTCCCCACTGGCTCAGTGCCTCTGTCCCTAGTGAGGCCAGTGCAAGTTGCACAGTGTTTCCCTGCTTCCTGCGCTGGGGCAGCCTCTTGTCTCCTTGCTACGTTGTGCTTTTCTGACGAAAACTTTGACCTCACTTTCAGTTCTGCACATCTACGGGTTCTTTCTCCTGTAGCAAGACGATCTTCTCTGAACCACAGACTTCAGCTGAACATTTCTGCCCCTTTCAGTGATCCAGAGATGGTGGGAGGCAGAGAGACTCCCTGCTGTGTTGCTGGTTCTTTTTCTCAGGGGAGATGATCCCTGTTGTGACTGCATAGATTGACTGGCCATGTGGGAAACTCTTGGTTTCAGATGCAAAGGACACCATGTTGAATCAAAATGAGCTCATTAGGGGATTTATTAGCCCGACAATAAATGGAAAGGGATAGGGGTGTACCCTCACTGAGCATGGGCCTGCAGCCTGGCCCCACTTAGTGCTAAAATAATTAGTAATAAGTATGTGACAGAAAATAGGGGGTAATCACAACATCTGTATTGAACAACAAGAGCAATAACCACAGTTAATTGAGAGAGCACGAGGCAATACCAGTAGCACCACCAGTACTATACTGCTATCAGACACAGGGAGGAAATCCCGCAGCTCCTCAGCTCTCGTGCACCTGATCAGTGTAGCATTGCTGACAGGCGTTCACCTCACACAAACTCGCTCTCTTGGCACTGCTCTCACACTGGACCCTGTTGTCCTCTGGTCTCCCAGGCCTTCTGGCACAATGCTCCAGAGCACTTTGCACCTCTCCTTAGGTACAAGCTTCATACGCAAGCTTCTCGCCAACATGGGAGTTTGGCCGCTCCAAGCCCTCACTCTCCGTGCGTACACACCGTCCAATCGACCACAGTCTGAACTCGTGAACAATACAACCACACAATGACTAACAACCACCTGTCTCTTCCCACCTCTCTCAGAAGCAATAACATGCACACAGGGGGGTTGGCCACCCCTCATCGACTCTCACACCTCAGCTCACTTTTCTCACAATCTCAACTTCACATTCAACTCTCCACACTGAGACGCACACCTCTGGTGCGAGCTCCTCTTATAACACTGACATCCTGACATCTGTCAGTCATTCTCCCACCAATCAGATGGCACTCATCACTCTCAGCCAAATAGCATCTACATCACCTCACAAGGTGGTTGTCACCACGTTCACACCATCTCAGCTGTTGTTGGCCATTCTGAGAAGCCCCATCCATAAGTGAGTCATTTTTCAGCACAGGTCAAAAGCTTACTCAAGCTGGAACTGTCCAGCCCCTACCAGGGGATGCTGTGACTTGGTTTGGTCGTCAACACCCAGAAGTCCTTTTCCCCCACCTACAGTTTAGCCTGCACTTAACTGGGGGTGCAGGTCACCTTTACGCAATGTTGGAGGTTTGCACAGAGAAAACTTTGCTGAGGAGCAAACTCTGGCCATGTCAGATGGATGTGACCATGTGTGATCCATCCAGTGCTGACCCAGAGTCCTTGTTGCTGGCCAGTCTTGGGTCACGTAGAAGAACAGATTAGGTGACCTTTGAGGTCCCTGTCAACTGTGATTGTATATCTGTAAATCCCACAGAAAAGCTAAAAAGAGGAAGAGAACCTGTCCCAGCCCAGAGATGCAGGGGCATTTACTTTCCCTTTAAAGAGAATAAGCAGCTGAGATTAGCTCATCTTGCTGCTAGTTCTGTCATGGGATTTGTGTGTGTGGAAGGGTGCTCAGAGCTTTTCATGGTCTCCACCTGGAACTAAGAAGGATTTCTTTGTCTTCTTACAGGTTCTTCTGTTGGCACTGGAGTTATGACCCAGATAGCTTGTTCTGGGTGGATCCAAACCCTCAGACTGACCGTGACCTCTCCATTCGATAATAAGTGAATGTTATTGAAACACAGTGATAGCAGGTAAGAATAATGCAAACCTTTCATATCTACCAGTCCTAGAGTCACAGAATCAAGGTATGTCTGGCCAGTATGCGAGCAGCACCCTGAGGTTCTTTCTTGAATGTCAGATGTCAGCAGCCCGGCGGTTGAAAGCTGAGTGCCTCCCCCTTCCACCACAGTGGGGTGGATGAGATGTGCTGGTAGTGTGTCCTCTGTCCATGGTGGCCTCGGGTTTCCCTCCTGGGGACCCTTTGCTGTTCTGAAATCCCTCCTTTTGTATTCTTTTCCCCTCTGATGACTCTTAATTCCCAGGTATAGTTGACTGGTTTCCCTGTGGTCATCATACTGTCTATGTTCTGTCCCGTCAGGATATTCCTTTGTTTCACAAACTCATCGCATGCATACATCCTTATTTGGTTGTTTACCAGTTTCTTCCTCTCTATTGGTCCATTTACCAAAACTGGAAATCCCATGGGCTCTGCAGTTTGACACTGTGACCTGCACAGTCCCTTATCTCTGTTTGGGTAACATGTTCATGTTATGGAACAGTGTGGTGCAAGTCTTCAGTTTCCAGCCTCTGTGACTGCTTGCCGCTTGCCTGTCAGACAGTGTGGGCCTTGAAGGAAAACTTGGTTACAAACAGGCTTTCAGAAATCAATAAACCCTGTCCATTGCCCTGGACCATTGTTCTAATGCAATATCTACTTTTATCTACAAGCCAATTCCCAAAAGCAAACATTTCAATGTCATTTTCCAGCCATCACCTTCTCACCCCACCTTCCGCTCAGGAATTGGGACAGTGGCAACAGTTAAAGTTAGGGAGTTGTTGACTGAAGTGTGATGATGCGTCTATTGGTTGTGTGAGCCTGGAGGTTCCTGGTTAGAGAGTCTGACTCTTGCGTTCACCATCAAACTCATCACTCTGCCAGTTTGGGGTCAGGAACAAATGTTTCTTCCATGTCAGACGGGCATAGACTGAAGTTTCTGGGGGGTTTTTGGGTTGTTTTTTTAACTTTCCACTGTAGTGTGGGGTCTGGTCCTTATTTTAGTATTGTGTGAGTACATATGACCTGGCTGCTTCCCTGCCATTCCAGTGGCAGGATACTGGAAGCTCCCTCACTGTCCCTCCTTTTACCAATGGCAGGTCACGGAGTGCTCTTGGTGTTTCAGATTGTGTTCCTTGTAGATAAGTGTGAGGGTTTGAATTGGTGGTTTAGTAGATTCCTTGGGTACGTAGTTTCTGAAAAACAACTGGGGCCTGACCTGGATTGTCCAGGAGGCACTTTGCAATCCTGTGTTCCTGCATGGTTCATGTTATTCCCACCCCAGGGCTTCTATGTGTGGTTCTCAAATTGTGCTGCACCCAGTGAGCCACGTCCCACAGCACCCATTTTGCAGGGAAGGCGTGATCCCGACGTTCTGGGGGGGAAACAGAAAAAAGGAGTATTCAGATTTATTGATGTTTATTTGCAGTTAAGCAGAGTGGTCACAATCAACATAACTATGTTATGTGAATAACAGCTCTTCTGCAGGCTGCCCAGGAGAGGGGTCCCCTTGCTAGGGATGTGCAACAGCATGCGCTTGGGGAGAGAGAGAGTGGCCTGGCCTCTCTGGCACAAGGAGGGAAGTGGTATGTTACTTCCCCCCGTGGCAAGGAACTGTTTCGTTATTGGGTACGGAGTCGCTATGAAAGCTTAGCCAAGATCCTCGGGGCTGTTACTGATCAGAGATCCTGGTTAATAGGTCAAATATTTTGCTGTCCCTTCTCAGTGGCATTAAGCACGAAGCCTGGTGTACGCAGCATAGAAAGGCCCCTGACTCTTCTGAGATGAAGTCTTGGATCCAGTGTGTAGGACAGGCACCAAACAAGGGGATCTGCCAGCTTGAGTCTGGAAAGCCTGAAGATATGTTCCCTTTGAATTGTCTCTAGTGCTGCTTTCTGCTGTTGTGTTGCCTTGCAATGAATGGATTCGAGGTCTCTGGCAAGAGTCTCATATGTAATGGGCTGCATGTGCTGTGGCCCAAAAAGCAGGGGACTGGGATGACTCTTTCTGCCACCGGTACAAAAAATTTTGTTGAAGAGGTTTGGCTTTTCAAAGGAGATCACACAAGGCATCGTAGCCTTTTTAGAGGAGTCCTGAGTAGATGCCAGCATGCATGCTCCGAACAGAGGGCCTAGAAATAGGTTAAGGCATGTTCTCAGGCCTGATCTAAGGCAGCTACAAGCCTGGTTTTCAGGAATTGGGGTATATATCCCCTTAGAAGCAAAGTCTTATCAGGGTGAAGTATGCAGAAATCCCCAAGTCCTTAGCAAACTCCTTTAATTCTTTAGACTTTAGTCTTCTAGTGAAACCTGCCTCTCATCCCTCTAGAATCCTTGCTGCTTTGATTTCAGCCTAGAATCCCTTTTGGCCAGTGCTGAGCTATCTAGCATTTCCTGCCATGAAAAACTGATGAGATACTCTTGGCCTGGTGGACTTTGTGACACAACGGGAGAGTGGTTACATGCTGGAATCAAAGCTGGCTGCCGAGGTTATAGCAATGTTGCCTGAGAAGGGAATTGTAATTCCCCGGCTGCTCTGGTGCAATCCACGATAGATGTTTTAGTTGGGCCAAGGTGCAGTCACCTGGACTCCTGTGGGGCTTAACTCTGTTTAGTAAAGGGCTATATGAGATGATAACATGTCTGGGTCCTGCTACATGAAAAAGCAGCTACATGGCTACATGAGAGCAGCATCACTGGCAGAAGCTGCTAGTTTAATCTGGATTTCAAGGCTGCCAGCATTAGCAAAGACCATGAGGAATTTCCTCAAGCAGCCTGGCTTCAACCAAGGGTCAGCCCTGCTTTAAGCCATGCTGCTCTGTGGCACCATGAAATCAAGGCTTCTGACTTGTTCGGGTGCCTCCCCTCTGCGCCGTCGTCTTCTCACGAGAAGAGCTATTGTCACGGCCATCAGGGTCTTGCTGGTCAGGAACCCAAGCAGGAGGACAAGCCATGAGCTGGATTGGAAAGAAGGAGAGGAGGAGTGAGCTGACAAGGAAGAGGAGGGCTTCAGAAGAGACATTATGAGTGACTGTCACATGGGAGCGCTGCCCGGCTCCTTTACTGTCTGGGAGGGACTGAAGCTGCACCCTGTGCGTGAGATTGAAATCCCATTCTGTGTGTGCAGTAGTTTGCAGCAGGGATCTCTCTTTGCTTGACATACATAGGTTATGACACCTCTTGTCTCCTTTGGTAGCAATGGAAATCCCTGTACTGCCAAAGCTCGTTTCCTTGGGAAAAACAACTGAGTTTACCTGACGCCGAAGGAGACCTGGCAGTTGCTCTGTGGTTCCCCGTTGTACCTGGCATCGAGCGTGGAGAAGTTGAGGGCAGAAGCCGTGTATAGAGTTGTTAAGATGTTTTCTGTAGTTAAACCTGCAAATAAAGCCCAATTAGTTCCAATAGTCACCCTGTCTGAGACGTAAGAAAGCTAGCTGGATATCCCCCTACTTCATGCTCCACATTACTGCTGCTCATCATCTGAACAGGTGTCTGAGAAACTGTGGTTTGCCTTTTTCCCCAGTGAGGAAATACAACCATCCATCCACTTCTGTCAGGACGTGAAGAGAAACCTCTTGTGTTTGTGATATTTGTTGGTGACTGCAGTGAAGTTATCTCTGGATGCTGAGAGACTCAACAGGCATCTCTTTTGAGAGACAAGAGAACAAGGATCCCCTCTCATCCTGCTCCAGGTCACTCAGGCTAGTGATCTGAACAGACGCTCTTGAAACAAGAGTGTTTTTGGCTTCCCATAAAGTGATGGGACCACCAGCTTCTGTGGGGAGAGTTAAGATTGCTTTTAGGAAATGAAGTGACACCTCTTCAAGTGTTACACCTCTCTGCGACTGCAGGGAACCTGGATGTAGAGACTGGGAGACAGTGGAAGACTGTTACTTCCTGAAGCTCCTTATCTCTGCTACACAAGGTTTGTACAAATCCTATTCAAGAGCTAGCTAGTGCAGATCAGTGCAGGTCCACCAAAATCTGGTGCCATGCCATGCTTCTTTACACCAGCTGAGGACTTGTCCCTGAAGTGTTTTCCATTTTCAACGCATGCACTAGAAATGTGCAAGCACAAATCATAGACTGTCGTAATGTGTCCTCTACCTGGTGTTGCTTCACCCAGCACAAACCTAGTATATCACCACAGGAAAGCATTGGAAAACTAAGGTTTTCAAGAGCTTATCAGCTCTTGGCCTGAGCTCTGAAAGCCCTTCTCTTTGGTTGGTTTCCAAGGTGGAGTCTGTAACTGAGCTCTGCCTCTTCTTCAAGTTTCTGGTCAAGCATGGGCACTGCCCTGCAAGAAGCAGCAGCTCTAGGGGCTGCTCTCGTATGCACATCTTTTTACATAACAGGAGGCATTAAAAAAAACCCTTCAGGAATCGTCTTCACAGGATGATAGGGAAAAGTCGGCAGTTAGCATCACTTGTGGGGTGTCCCCATCAGCAATGAGAAATTTCTCAACAGAGTGGTCTAAGTAAGCAAAGCAGTTGTCTGGATATCACTGCCGGTAGCGTAGGATGCAGAGTAAGCAATCCATTGTGTGCGTTATTGCTTACAGATGTAATGGCTCCCTTGTTCTCTTTCGACCTTTACCAATCCAATGTACCCTTCTGCATAGCTCTATTGCCATCTTCAATGGCAGGTCTTAGAAAGACGCTGGTCTCCTCATGTCAATACACTTGTTCTATAGAAAAAATATTCTTCGTATTTGGGTTATCCCTGGAAATTAGACCTGTTCTAATTATTTCTCCAGAACTTGTCATGTTTTTTTCAGTCCCATGCATTAAGTCATATCTGTACTAGCTGTAGTAGAGAAGAGGAATTAAGCTGCTGTGGAGGTGTTTAGATATTTAGAAGCTGAGGGTTGTGGAAGAACATACCCAGTACACATGAAAGAGGGAAATAGTTCCTGGTGTGATCCAGAAAGGGGGGATAAAGGCTAAAGAACAGGGGATAAAGGCTAAAGAACAGGGGCAGATATTCAGGAGTTACTGGGGCTGTGATCTAAACTTGGCAGCAGAGAGACCTGCAGAGATTGGGAAGGGGAAACCAAAATGCATCACCAAGAATACTGACAAACACTCACTCTTGAAAACAGCCAGTTGAACTTCAACTCAACTTCAAGTCTTCCCTGGTCTAACTGCTTTCACCAACATCTGTTCAGTTGCGATCTGGGTGAGCTTGAAGGGGAGTTTTCAGTGTGAAGTGCCCTGCAAGCCAACTAAAGAGAAGGCAGACAGTTGCCCTAAGACCTTCTTAGAAGAGAGGCAAGGGTTTCTTACAGTGATATATTTTACAAGACTAACTGCAGAGTTGGGATGGAGTTGGACAAATATTTGAAAGCAACATCCTTCATCAAGGCTCATCTTGGAAAAAATCTTAGTAGTAATTGGACCATGTCCTGGGGGGTTCAAGAGAAGAATGAAGAATCATTGCTGAAGAACCAAAAAAAAACTTCTTGGCTTAATCCCTCAGCTCCCTTGTGATCCTGGCTGGTTGCTTGTGTGAGATAAGAAAGAGGGACAACAGTATGTGCTGGGTAGGAGACAGGGAGGAAACTGGGAGAAGTTGATAGCAAGTGCAGTAGGTAAGGTGAAAGCTGGTAAGGAAGGAATGGGGTTTACTTTGTAAGAAATATACTCACGCTTAGAAACCGTCAGTTGAATGGTCTTTAGAGGGTACCATGCATTATGGAAAAATAGTGTGCAGGAGTACACTCCTGTGTCCTGCATCCGGAGCATCTTCATGGTGATGTTTACAACCCCCTTGTCGGTGTCATCCTGTATCGTGGTTGTTTTAACAGTGACCTTCTTTTGATAATGTCCTTGAGTGGTGTATTGGGTTCTGACTAAAAGATAATATGTTCGACCTCTTAGCTGGCGCCAGCCTTTCAGTTGTTCTCTGTATTGCTCTTGGTTATAGGGACACTGGACAGAGAGGGTCTGTCCTTCCTTTCTGGTCTCCACAGCATTGTACTCTTGGGGTTCAAGCCCTGGAAAACACAAAGCTGCATCAGTGAGGGCTGTGCTGGAGCTTCCCCACACTTAGGAGCCTCGCGCTCCAGCATTTGATTTGAACACAGCACAAACACCAGGGCTGGGAGGAACAGAGCAGGCTCAGGACGAGCAGTACGTTCAGTTCATCCCCCAGCTCCCTGCCGGCAGCTGCTTCCCAAATAAAATGTGCTTCCCACTGTATTTGCTGCCGGTGCCCCCTGCACACCTGAGCGCTCCCCAGGTTTTAGTCCCATCTCCTGTGAGGATTTGCTGTGTCTGCACAGTGTCTTGAGTGGTGTGAGCTCCTTGTGCCATCTCTGCCCATTGCTGAGTTTGTATTGTGGGCTGCAAACAAGCTCCATTGTAGCCACTGCAGCTGCATGCAGATCAGTAGATCTGAGTCCCATCAGACCGCTGCAGTCTCGTAGAAAAAAAACATGATGAAAATATTTTACTGTTCAAACCAGCTCAAAGCAAACGCCCTCAAATTTCTTGGGCCTTGTTCTTGTCTCATACCAGCATCACACAAGTTATTTCCATGCACCCCACTGGGGTTATTCCTGACTTAACTCCCATGTGAGTGAATAAGGTGCCTTAATATGAGCTGGCTACTACTCTGCTCTGGCATGGGGATGGCCTTGGTGCCCGTAGGCTCTTGTGTCTGTGATTTTTTTTTTTTCCTGGAATATGTAGTACTTGCCCTTTCCAATGCCACATTGTCCATGTGCTTCATTCATGCTTGTTGGGTAAAGCACTGTCAATAATCAATAGTATCTGGGGAGGGATGTCTATGACTAAAAGAAGTTGATGCACATGCCCTGTCCTGTGTAGTACAGACTAACCCGAAAAGGGGCCCAGTTGTATTTGCTATGGTATAAACACAAGCTAAGATGCAGGTCTCACCCAAAGACCTCACAGTGTGATAAATGAGATGGGCAGGATGTAGGAGAAAGGACATAACACATAAGGAGAGTGGAGAATGAGAGGGCTGCTGCTGCCAGTTCCTCTGAAGTTCTCCAGGCTGCGTGTATGGACCATAGTTGGTCTGGGGAGCCGTTCTTGGTGACCATGGGAGGAAACATTTATGAAACAAGCAGTGGGATTGAGCTACTGTGAGCTCCTAGGACATTTTTTTTATGCTGGGGATTGTTTCACCAATCCTGGCTTCAGTGCCTTGGTGCTAACTTGCAGCATAGATGCATTTCACCTGGGTTTCCTACCAGGGTGAGTTATACTGGTGCCAGTCCAGTTAGTGTACCAGTGATAGACGGTTATCTTGGACGTACTGTACTGGCGCAGCCCCAAGCTATCTAGAAATACCCCACATGGACAGATCTTTAGACAGAGGTATTGAGAGGGAGGGATGGCCGTAGTGGGGGTGAAATTTATCTGGGAGCTGGGCTGTATACTGCAAATACTGGACAGCGACACTCTGAAGTGCACACAGTGTGTGTTTAAATTTGGTGTTGTTTCCTGCTTCTAGGATAGCAGAGTCAGTAAACAGGGGTATAGGTTGTAGCCGTGTCGGTATAAGGACAGAGGCAGACAAGGTTCTTTGGGTGATCTCTCTTATTAGACCGACTCATAGTTGCAAAAATTCATCTTTGCAAGCTTTCAGGTACAAGCACCCTTCTTCAGGCAGTGGAAGCATCTCCAGTTGTTTTGTGCCCATCTGGCAGAGAGGGGTCAGGGGATGGTCAGAGGTAGGGAGGGGAGAGCTCTGTAGTAAAGAGGAAACTGTTATACCCTAAAGACAAGGAAGTGCTTGGGCAGTGGTTTTAGCTAGAACTGCACTTGAGGGGAATCTTGACTGTTGTTATATGCTTTTTTGTGGTGTTTGCATCTACACACACACCCCATGGGTTCTTCTGTGACCAATGTAGATTTGAAGCTGTTTCAAGCTGGGAGGGGGGCTTTGGAGGAGAGATGCTCCATGTTGGCCAACGCCAACATCTTAAGGGATAGCCAGCATGGGTTTGTTGCGGGTAGGTCTTGCTTGACCAATCTCATTTCCTTCCTCGACCAGGTGGCCTATCACCTGGACAAGAGAGAAGAGATTGATGTCATATATCTTGACTTCAAAAAAGCCTTCGATCTGGTGTCCCATGATCACCTCTTGGCGAAACTGGCCAATTGTCGCCTTGGGTCCTCCTTGTGTGCCACAGGGGCAGAGAACGGATGCTGAAAGGGACAGTGAACTGGGTCTGAATAGGGGTTTTGCCCCCGCTATTCCTCTCTCACTTGCAGCCTCCAGCATCTAAGGTCTAGGAAGCTCTGATTCCGAGACGGTGCCGCTCGCTCCCATGCTCAATAAGCTAGTGATGCCCCTTTCCTCCAAGGTGTCCAGTCCCTTTTTTTTGAATCTGGCTAAACTCTCAGCTTCCAGCACATCTAGTGGCAACCAGCTCTGAAAGAGACTTGGGGGTCATCATTGACCACAAGATGAACATGAGCCTGCAATGTGATGCGGCGGCTAGTAAAGTGACCAAAACGCTGGCTTGCATCCATAGATGCTTCTCAAGCAAATCTCGGGACGTCATTCTCCCCCTGTACTCGGCCTTAGTGAGGCCGCAGCTGGAGTACTGTGTCCAGTTTTGGGCTCCACAATTCAAAAAGGATGTGGAGAAGCTTGAGAGAGTCCAGAGAAGAGCCATGCGCATGATCAGAGGTCAGGGAAGCAGACCCTACGATGACAGGCTGAGAGCCCTGGGGCTCTTTAACCTGGAAAAGCGCAGGCTCAGGGGTGATCTGGTGGCCACCTACAAGTTTATCAGGGGTGACCACCAGCATCTGGGGGAACGTTTGTTCACCAGAGCGCCCCAAGGGATGACGAGGTCGAATGGTCATAAACTACTACAAGACCGTTTCAGGCTGGACATAAGGAAGAACTTCTTTACTGTCCGAGCCCCCAAGGTCTGGAACAGCCTGCCACCGGAGGTGGTTCAAGCGCCTACATTGAACACCTTCAAGATGAAACTGGATGCTTATCTTGCTGGGATCCTATGACCCCAGCTGACTTCCTGCCCTTTGGGCGGGGGGCTGGACTCGATGATCTTCCGAGGTCCCTTCCAGCCCTGATGTCTATGAAATCTATGAAAAAAGCTGAGATAGCAGGAGGCACAGGGAGAAGAGGGCTGCAGTAACAGACTCTCCGCCATGTCCTTTCTGGGGAGTGTCTAAAAATGTTATAAGTTTGCTGCAGTCCAAGTTCAGTCCTTTCCAGTGTTTCTTATAAATTTATCACCGCAAACTTGTTCTTCTTTGATGCCTCCCAAAGGAATCCCCACTCCCTATACATAGTCTTTTGTCTTGGAAAGATCCTTCTGTGATGAATTGAGTCCCGTTTCTCCCTAGCTAACATTGCAGGGCCATGCACACCTTCAGCTCTATACCCAGCTGCTGTTTGGGGTGACAGAGCTGTGTTGGCTCCATATTACCATTTGTTATACCTAGGACAGGGAAGATCCATGGAAATAGTCCTGGGAGGTCCTACAGAAGCACCTTAATAGGAACAAGTCCAGGGAGCTGGGTTTGTTATTTTAGTGGCTGTGAAATAAATATCTGGAGCTCTCCCGGCCTGTCTGTACAATGACCTGTCATGTCAGTGACTTGCTGACATTGCTAGTGGACCCTGTGCTGATGTAGGGTGCATCCTTAGTTGGGGAGATCAGCCCAGTCCACTGACTCAAACACATCTGTTTTGTGCAGTTCAGGAGCTGGTCCAGGCGCTGCAGTGAAAGCTCCCAGGGACTGGGAGAGCTTGACCTGGGGAGCCTGACATGGTTCTGATTCCTGCACTTCTCTCTGTGCCTCTCACAGGGCAAAAACAACAAATACCACCTAGGTCCCACCAGTCCCTGACAACCCACAAGGTATCAAATCCTCTCTCTTCTTACCTGAGATGCAGAGGCCCAGCCACAGCAGCAGGGATAGGGGCTCCCACTCCATGCCTGCCTTCAAGCCCAGAAGATCCTCATCTCTGCAGCACAGAATGGAAAGTGAGATTGGGGGGGGTGGGGGGTTTGTGGTTCTTATCGGCACTGATACAGCAGGAGGAAGTGGCTGGAGGTATGGTTTGCCTTGGAAATCAATCGCCACATTTTGCAATGAGACCTATATTCGAATAGCTGAATTGTTCATTTGGGGAAGTGGCTGGTATATGTAGAGGTCAGCCAGACAGGAGGCAAGGGACCCTTTGCTTATTGCCCTGGATGCGGTCACCGATCTTTGTACCAAGGGTATCGGTTGAGTTCAGTTCCCTGAGTGATGGAGATGAAGGGGCTGGCATCTCAGGCTCTCAGCTTCCTTGGGTGGGAAGGGGGGGAATTTTTAGCTCATGCCATTTTCATACTTGGAAAGCTCCTCTCTCATAATGGTTAAATGAGCATCCTGGAACCACCTCTGATGCTCCTGACCCTGTGGTGACAGGTGTAGAAACTGCTGCTGCTGCTCCTAGGACTCTGTCTCCGTTCCATTTAACAAGCAAAGTACTTTTCATTAAATCATCGGACTCCACAGCCAGCTATCGGGTACATTCACCAGCAGTACAGCTCCTCCTTGGACCTCTTTCTCCTAGGATCCAGGTCCCCTCTATAATAAGTGCTAGTGATTTGTTCAGGGCAGGTCTTCTCCTTGCTTCATTCTGTTTGTGCCCTTGGCCCATGGAAGAAGCCACCCCGAGTTCCTCTGCAGGTGCAAAGAGATCAGACAGGGTCTTTCTGGCAAGGCCGCTACCTTCATCCCAGCTCCTTGGTTTGGTGTCTGAAGGCTGGTGCTGAGAGTCTGTCTAGTGCCTTTCTACCCCTTGCTGCTCTGGGCATGGCATAAGGACACCTCTGTTTGCATTATTCAAGGAGAAGAAAATGAAGCCGTTCAATCTGTAGTATCAGCACATATAGCAGCTGTGGCATCTTTCTCTTGGCCGCAACTGGCATGACTTGGACCTGCACTGAAGGGGCCATGTCACTGGCCAGAGGAGAGTCGACACCCATGACCAGTCCTCCTCAGTCATTTGGCTGATGTTGCTATTCACTGGCTCTTTGTGCAGTGAGGGCAGTGGTGCATCCTTACTCCTTTGACTGAGACCCTATAACCCCATTTCACACACCTGTGAACAGTGCAGTAATTGCTTCTGCGCTCCTGACTGCTAGAATGAGCTGGATTCTTCCCCCATTCACACTGGTGTGAAATCCACCGGTTTCCATGGACTTTTCTCTGCATCCCACTGGTCTTTATGGACTCAGTGCCTCTCTCCCCCATGAGGGTAATGCAAATTGCACAGTGTTCCCCTGCTGCCTTTGCTGGGGCAGCCTCTTGCCTCCTTGCCGCACTAAACTTTTCTGAAGAAAAGGGAAGGCATTGACCTCTCTTTCAGCTCTGAACATATAGAGGGTTCATACAAGCCCTGCTTTGAACTGCAGACTTTGTTAACACTCCTCTGGCTACTTCCAGTGATCAGAGGTTTGGGAGGCAATATCAGGATATTTTGCTGCTGGAGGTTTTTCCCATAGGGAAAATGACTGTTGTGTCCCTACTGATTATCAGGCAAGGTTAGAGTCTCTTCTTTTCAGACCCTGAGGCCATCTGAAGCCCTTTCACCAACCTATGGTCAAGGAGACAGATTAGTCCATACTTAAATGCAAGCAGCTCATGTGCAGTTTGTGCCATGGGGTTGGGACAGAGAGCTTTGCTGGAAAGCCAGTTCCTTATACCTGTCCCGGAGGGGTTTGACTATGTGTGATCCCTCCAGTACTGTATCCAAGCCCCTCTCGTTGGCCAGTTTAGGTTATCTCTGTGCAGGGAGTTGGATTAGGTGACCCCAGGGGTCTCTTTCAACCCTGTGATTCTGTATCTGGAAAAGCTCAAAAGAGGCAGAGGATCTTCCCAGAAACCAAGGAGCATTTGCTTCTCCTTCAAGGAGAATATGCAGCTATGGCTACCTCATCTCACGGCTATGAGTGGAGGGTAGTTTTGTCCTATGGAGAACATTTTATAATCTCTGTGCCTCACAGCTGTTGATGGACCAGGAAGGATTTTTTTGCCTTCATGAATTCTGGTGTCTTTTTGGGCTTGCTTTGTTGTTTTTAAATATATTTTTGGCTTTGGCTTTGGGTTTTCTCACTTCCTCTGAGCAAATGGGACGTCAACCACAGCTAAGGCCAGGGAGTTGTGACCGAAGTTTCTACTAGTACTGGAAACCCAGAGGTTCCTAGTGTGGAGCTCTGTGGCTTTTCTGCTCAGTGTCATACCACTCGCCATACTAATTTGGGGTCATGAGTAAATGTTTCCTCCATTTCAGATTGGCATGGACTGTGCTGGGGTTTCTTGTCTTCTACTGTAATGTGGGACACATTATCTTTTGATCAAGTATTACCTTATTACTTCCCTGTCATGCCAATGGCTGTGCATTGGTGATGCCCTCATTTCCCCCACTTTTACCCATGGCATGTTATAGGATACTTATGGTGTTTCAGATTTTGTGCCTTGTAGATGTGCAAGGGGAAAATGGAGGCCAGGCCATTTTAAAAATCATCCCTAGGAAACCCTAGTACAAGCTCCAGGTACTATAAGAGCAAAACTAGCCCCAGGCTTTCTTTACTGTCTCAGCTTTGCCTTCTGAAGGGGCTGGGGCCAGGACTTGGGATGCAGAAATCAAACTAGAGCCATTTAGGGTTTGTACATTTTATTTTCAGCTAAGTTGAGTTGTTGCAAGTGAACACAGATTATATGAATAGCATGGCTCATCCACTGGTAGCATGGGAGAGAGCTGCCCTTGAGAGAGATGTGCAACAGCGTGTCTATGGGGTGGAGTGGGGACACTCCTGCCCTGCTGGGAGAGCCGGGTAGAAATGACCTGGGCTCTAAGATAGAGGCTGGAAGTCAGCGTGTGGGGTGGGCACCAGGAAAGGCATCTTCAAGCTTGAGCCTGGAGATACCCAAGATAGTTCCTTTCAGACATGTTTCTAGTGGTGAGTGGTGCTGTTTTAGTGCCCAGCCAGACATCATACCCTGGAAGTGAGGCAACGTAACCAACTTCAGCGAGTCCTGCAGGCACACACCTATGACAGAAAACCCAAGACTGTGTTTGGTCACACTGCTGGGGCTGCTTTAAGGCATTTATATTGCTTTATTTTCAGGAACTGATGTGCATGGAGCAAGGTGTGTTTTACATTCGCAGCCATGGGCAGGGTAAGGATGCGGTGCAGACTTGGCCCTAGAAGCTGAAGTCACATAAGGGTGAGGTTTCCAAAAGCCCCCAAGTCATCATCAGCAAACTCCTTTAATTCTTCAGACTTGAGTTGTCTAAGGAGAGCTCACATGCCCCTTTCTAGAATCAGTGCTCCCCTGATTTTGGGGTTAAAATCTCTTTAGCGGTGTCAACCTGTCTAGCGATCGGTCTTAGAGAGGTAGTGAAGTACTCTCTGATCTCCTGGACTTTGTGACACAGGAGGGAGGTTCATGCTGGAATCTGAAGTCAGCTGCCAGGGGTACATCCATGTCGACTGAGGGGGGATTTGTGATTCCCCAGTGTGGGGCTGTTCTGGTCCCTGCAACAACAGCTGTTGTACAATCAACAGACAATGTACAATCACGCTAAATCTTGCAGGAATTATCTCTGTTCTGGGCAGGGCAAAGTGAGATGATAACATGTCTGGGTCTTACCCACGTTACAGCAGCTCCGCTGGTGGGTCTTACCAGCGAAATACTGGTTTCATGGCTGGCAGCATAGACAAGGGCCATGAGGAATTCCCTGCCGTGTCCTGAGTCCATGTGAGAGCTAGTTTTGCTGTTAGAGACCAGAACTTCTGTTGCATCACAAGGTGTTCAATGTTTGTTGGGGTTCAGGTGCTTCTTCTCTGCAGTGTCCTCTTCTCACAAGGAAAACTATTGTCACGGCCAGCAGGATCTTGTTGATCAGGAACCCAATTAAAGGATGGGCCATGAACTAGATTGCAGATAAGAGGGAGAGGGTCAGCTCAGGAGGAGGAAGAGGATTTCAAAAGAAATGTCGTGACAGACTGTCAAATTAAGAGTGCCCCTCTCCTCTGCTCTGCAGGAAGGACAGAAACTGCAGTTTGTCTGTCAGATTTAATGGCCATTCTTTGCATCATTGTAGCTTGCAACAGAGATCTATTTCTATTTTATGTGCATCGCATCTCCTCTCCTTTGGTAGCAGTGGAAACCTCTATATCCGCTTCTGGGAAACCAAAGCCAAAGCGTGTTTGCTTAGCAAAAAACCAGCAAAGCTTACCAATTTACCTGGTGCTGTTCTTCTTTGATTCCCAGTTGTCCCTGGAGCCTGGGGTGGAGGAGGTAAGGGCAGGACTAGTGTATGGAGTGGTTGAGATGCTTTCTGTAGTTGAACTTGCAAACAAAAACCCATTGTATTGCAAGTTACACAGTTTATATTGAATCAGAAGCATTATATGTGGACCTAATGATTCCCCTGCTTGCTTCAGTCTGTATGATCCCTACCGACTCTTTTGTATTGTTCTGCTACCAGCTTCAGTTGCAGGTTGTAGAAAATGGCTGGTCTCCTCCCACCAGTTCACTTATTAAAGGTGTCTAAGTTAGAAATATTCTTATTGGGAAAATCCCTGGAAATCAGAGCCGTTTAAAATGTGGGTCATATTTCATACCATAATCCTCTTATAGATTGAAATGCAAAACCATGCATTTAGTAATAGCTCCTCCAGCTCTAGTGGAAATCAGGAGCTGAGCTTGGTGGAGCTTAGATGTGATGAGGCCATAGCTGTCAAAGTACCAAGACAGATGTGATTGAACCTAATAGAGATGAATAGTTTCTGAGTGAGAAAGAGAAGAGGGTTGAGGTCTGGGACAGGGATTCACACAGTTTTCTGGGAGGTGGTACGAACTCGGTGGCAGGAGGAGATGAAGGGAGTGGAAGGGGAAGCTGAAATGGGCAAACAACCACATTTATCCTTTAA